GCAATAATTGGCGACTCCAAGGCGGCAAATCCACATTATTTTCCCGACAGTCCTATATTTTGCAACGAAACCCTTGAAATTGAAAGAATAAATTTTTTGGGCCCCCCGCAACAACTTCTACGGTATCTTCTCTTTATTAGATTTATTTACATTTCCTATTTCCGCATCTCAATGAAAATTCTCTGTTGCCTCCCACACAACATGATATACACGCCGTCATCGCTCATTTACAAGCTGAATCACGTCCTCGTTGCTCATTCATAATCATCCCGAAATATAATTAGACTTGTAGCCTTTCCGGCCGCGCTCCGCCGGCTGGCACGTGTTCGTGTTCTCTTTGGGTCGTCTAATGCGTACGTGACCGGTGCACGCGCCCCGAAGATTTTTATTTTTGGAGCGTTGCCCTTTGAGGTAAATCTGCCATTCATCCGTAATGATGGCAGTTTGTTTCCTCCTCCGGCAGAGTACAAATTACCGGCGTTTGAATTAAAGTTTAAATGAGCTGAGTTGGGGGGCTTTCGTCAGCGGGTTGGCAGAGATTTTTTTTATGAGATTTTTTTAATAGGAGAAGAGATGTCGTCAGCATTTTTTACGGTAAAAAATTATTATTCATTTTTCGGGAGCATTGCTATTCTTGGAATAGGGGATAACTTATGACGTAATTTGAGGTATTTTTTAATTTTGGTCTTTTGAAATTTTTTCAAAATTATGGAAGCTTCGAAAAATGATTTCTTGGCAATCGATTTATAGTACACTAATGCATAATGCTTTCAAATATGACACATTTCTAAAGCACAATAGTTACAACAATTTTCAAGGTGGAGCTATAATTTGTCCTACAGTGAATAGTTACGGAGCAAATTTTGGTCTTTTCTGTAGTCAAGTAGCTCAGAGCCGGTAAAGCTCAGGTTAGCGCTACTTGTCTTAATTGTAAGATTAAGACAAGTGGTCATGTTGTAAGCCATTTCCAGGTCTACGCGGAGCTTTTTGTTGAGTCAGCAAAGCTTCCCACTACGTCACCAAGCCAATTAGACACTTCCTATTACATTTTCTGGGGGTTTGCCTTACCTACGCCGCGTATACATCTATTTTTTGTTGATCCAACTTACAGATGTATTCTCGACCCAAAAAAATCGACACACGTTTCGTTTTGGCCCTGCGGCCTTTCGGGTGAGCGACAGTTCGGGTTAGCGATGCCTTTGTTCGACTTGGTTGGTCATGTTGTAAGTCTCTGCCAAGTCTCCGCCGAGCTTTCGCCGAGGGCCCACAAAGCTTTCTCACAGCTTCGCCAAGCCAATTAGGCACTTTCTATCACATTTTCTGGGTTCCGCTTGCCCTATGCCGGGCATCCATCAATTTCTTGCTGACCTGAAATCCATCAACTTCTTGCTGTCGATCCAAAAGATGGACCTCGAATCTTTTTTCCTCAATCTCCAAATTCCGCCTTTTTCCCTCTCTTGATTTTCCTTCTTGGCTTACGTTCAAGTTTTCTAATCCTTCACGTGCCGTATCCCAAGTTTCCTGTCAGAATATCATCCCCATCGGCGACAAAAAAAACATCTCTAATCCGTGCGGCCGCCGTCATCAAAACCCTTTTGTGGAATCGTATCCGAACCTGTGCCAAAAACAGCAGCCCGAGCGGATTAGCAATCCGTTCGTGAAGATACACACGTCCAGACGGCGAGCGCTGGAGACGGGATTAATGTCGGCGGCCGGATGAAAATTTTGGAGCGGAGATTAGCTGCAGGAATATACGATGTTGGCGTATGTTGGAGATATCACTTGCAAGCAGGTGTGTCATAGTAGGCTCAGGAAGGCATAGTGAATTTTGTAGTGCAGCAATTATCATGCTTACTCTTTTGGATTCACAAATGTAGCACTCCATACGCTGGTGAAAAAGTGGGTAGACTTTGATGAAACTTGACAAAAATGTAGAATAATTGCTTCTAAGACATATATCACATTTCTAGCTCGCGCCTTGAAGAAACAACGAGATTTTTAAAGTCACGGTTTTATACCTATTTCTACCCTCGAGGGGGATAAGTCCGCAAAAAAAAACAAATTTTTTGTACCTATTTCTACCATAGGGTCCAGTATCTTCACAAAAAACCACTTTTCTCCCTACGCAAACTTGGTAAAGATGTTCAAAAAGCCTTTTCTCTGTGACCCCTCTCCGCGTTTCTCATGCTCTCTCGGCCGCAAAACTCGTCGAATATCTCAGCAACGCCTGCAAAGCGCGAGCTAAAACTTTCACCAATTGATATGTGAGCTATGTCTGACATGTGCTCCAAATTTAAAGAAAATCTGGACAGAGATACCCCCATTGTAAGCATTTGAATCTGGGTCTCTTCCCGTTGACTTTCAAGTTTCTTTTTTCGGCTCCTTTGACGATTCTCGTTCATAAAAAGTCACGAGATAAGGGTCCCTAATTTATATACATGTTGTTATTGACATTAAATTTTCTCTCGACTCAGCGATTTTTTCATTTCGTTGTTATGTTCGCGATAACAGGATGCGGTTATCAGTGGGGGGGCTTTCAACGATTTTTTGGCATGATGCTGGCGCTACCGTAGGTGTGGCAACCCGTTAAGAGGATTGTCTTTGTTTGTACATGGCTTAGAAGCTTAATTATAAGGTCATCGGTTCAAGAAGTCAACTTGAGAGGAGAAAACAGCTGAGAGGTTGGAAAAAATCTTATTTTAAACATTTAAAGGCGTTGAAGTCTTGTTTTTTGTCAGTTATCTTTAAAAACAGCGGCAGATTTAACGACCAAATGGTCGGGTTGTCTGTCCGACGCCTCAGACCGCTATAAAATTGCATTAGTTATGAACGAAAACCGCTAATTCGAAGATTAATAATGGCTCTGCAAGAGCAAATGAATAATTATTCAACGCCATTATTCATAACGAGCTAAATGTATTTATCAATTTGAAACATGCTGCAGACATGAGCACATATAATGGTGTCTGTCGGGCCAAAGTTGGTTTTCATTTCAAATTTGCGGGTTGAAAGATATCGCTTGGATTTGGCTGAGCGAAGCCGAAATGTGGCGTAAGGCTTCGGCGATCTCTGAATTGTCAGCGGGCTAAGAGAGCCGTTAATTTCGATTTTGTACGACTTCGGAAGACCTTGATTTTTGTGGACCAAGCGAAAATTTATAAAGTTTGTGGAGTAGCTAACGTGTGTGGCGGAAATTTCAAAAGTCTTTGCGAGTTTGTGGGGTCAAGTGTGCAAATGCTAGGGGTGACTTTTTTGGCTTCCTTATGATCTCTGAGGCAGCGCGGGAATATAAAAGGACGACTTGGCAAAATTAGAGGTTCTATGTGAAGATTTTGTTACTATGATTAGACTTGGTGAAAATTTACTTATTACAGAAGTAACCTAAGTGTGATTCTAGCGCTCAGACTTTGATGAAACTTGGCATATATTCGTATTAATTTTCGTAAGACATATGCTAAACTCTTACAGTGCTTCCTGGATGCAAAATGGTACGTTTTTAGCCAGTGGCAGGATAAAAGCTCTTTGCATCCAGGAAGTAACAAAAAATGTGGTAAAATACCTCCCTCCCCCAAGTGAAAAAAACTCAGATTTCAAAAGCGCGCCCGCTCTTTTTGTGAGGAAAAAGGGGGTTTTTCACTTGAAGAGGGAAGTATTTTGCCACATTTCGGATACTTCCCGGATGCAAAATGATACGTTTTTTGTCACTGGATCAGGTCCCCCACTGTAGCTTGCGCTTTTCAGAAATGACCGGGATTTTAAGATGAAAATAAAAAGCTTGAAAAGTTTTTTTAGAGAATTCTGGTATGATAAAACTTTATGCCTATTTTTACCATAGAAGGTAGTGATTCCACAAAAAAAATTCCCTCGAAAACCAGCAAAGGTATAGCCAAATGTTTATCTCTGAGATCACTTTTAACATAGCGCGTAGGCCGCAAAGATTGTCCAATATCTCGGCGGCATCTTGAAAGCCCGAGCTAAAACTTTCAGAGGCTGATTTGAGACCTATGTATATCCGAGATGTACTTAAAATTTAAAGAAAATTTAAGTGTCGCACGTTGGGTACTTCCTCGTAAATTTGCACTGAATCAGGCAGTTGTTGTTAGACAAACTATTGCAGCCGATCTGGTTGAACTCCTCGCTTAGCAACTGTTTTACTGGTGTTGCTTTTGAACATGCGGATTTGGCATAAGATACATTTCTTTCAATAATATTTTTAGCAGTGCTTATTTCCTCATTTCCTTTACGCCACGTGGCGTAAAAAATCCCACATGAATATTTCACAGGCTACAAAAAAAGACTGTTTACATTTATCCAAAATAATACTTAATAATAAGTTTTTGTCTATTTGCGTTAAATTTGGCCCCCACAGAGTCCGAATATTTTTGTTTTCCTCGTCGGATTTGAATGAACTCTTCGCTGAAGCTGCCTGAAACCGGTGTGTGTTGATCCAACTGTTCGACTCTGACGAAAATATTTGCCATTGGAAACGCTCGAAAAAAAAAGTTTTGAGGTCAAAAGTTAAAAAAATAGGGATGCTGATTGCACTTTATAAGGGCATGTATGGGGTTTTCGTGGAGCTAAAGTCGGCCTAATCAAAGATTAGAGACTATTAGCGGTCCAAAATAGGCGGCGCAAACCACCAATTTTGAGGTATTTTGCATGTATTCACATCAATAATATCCAGATAAAAGCCACGGATCTCTGTTTTGCAAATGGGTTATTGTTACTTTTTTATGTTGCAATAACTCGGGGTAAAAAGAAGTAACGTTAGCAATAGCTAAAATTAGAAAACATGGACATATCGCAAGTATTCGGCAAGTCTCCGCCGAGCCTTCGGCGAGCGTCCGCCAAGCATCCAACGGCTTTGCTAGGCCTCTAGGAACTCCCTACAACTTTTTTTTGGGTATTAACCTGCCTTACACCCTGTTTCGAATGATTATTATACAATAACTTAGGGAAAGAGAACTAACGTTAGTAATAGCTAAAATGAGAAAAAGTGGATGTATTGCAAGTCTTCGCCAAGTCTCCGCCGAGCCTTCGCCGAGGCTTTGCCGAGTCTTTGCCGAGGCTTTGCCGAGCCTTTGCCGAGGCTTTGCCGAGCCTTCGCCGAGCTTTGCCGAGGCTTCGCCGAGTCTCCGCCGAGCCTTCGCCGAGGCTTTGCCGAGCCTTCGCTGAAGCTTGCCGAGGCTTCGCCGAGTCTCCGCCGAGTCTCCGCCGAGTCTCCGCCGAGTCTCCGCCGAGGCTTCGCCGAGGTTTTGCCGAGCCTTCGCCGTGGCTTTGCCGAGCCTTCGCTGAAGCTTTGCCGAGGCTTCGCCGAGGCTTCGCCAAGGCTTCGCCGAGGCTTCGCCGAGGCTTGGCCGAGGCTTCGCCGAGGCTTGGCCGAGGCTTCGCCGAGGCTTGGCCGAGGCTTCGCCGAGGCTTTGCCGAGCCTTTGCCGAGGCTTTGCCGAGCCTTTGCCGAGGCTTTGCCGAGCCTTTGCCGAGGCTTTGCCGAGCCTTTGCCGAGGCTTTGCCGAGCCTTTGCCGAGGCTTTGCCGAGCCTTTGCCGAGGCTTTGCCGAGCCTTCGCCGAGCTTTGCCGAGGCTTCGCCGAGTCTCCGCCGAGCCTTCGCTGAAGCTTGCCGAGGCTTCGCCGAGTCTCCGCCGAGTCTCCGCCGAGTCTCCGCCGAGTCTCCGCCGAGGCTTCGCCGAGGTTTTGCCGAGCCTTCGCCGTGGCTTTGCCGAGCCTTCGCTGAAGCTTTGCCGAGGCTTCGCCGAGTCTCCGCCGAGGCTTCGCCGAGGCTTCGCCGAGGCTTCGCCGAGGCTTTGCCGAGGCTTCGCCGAGGCTTGACCGAGGCTTCGCCGAGGCTTGGCCGAGGCTTGGCCGAGGCTTGGCCGAGGCTTTGCCGAGGCTTCGCCGAGCGTCCGCCGAGCATCCAACGGGTTTACCAGGCTTTTTAGGCACTTCCTACAACCTTTTTTTTTGGGTATCCAGCGATCGATTTTGTGTTGACCCTTACTGTCGTTGACCCAAAAACTCAGGACGCGAAATAAGCGATCTTGTATAGATTGTCGCAAAATACATAAGTCATCGAAACGACAGGACGTTTCAGCGTTTTTCGGAAGCATGACAAACGTTTCGACGAATTTCGTGTAAAGATTATCATCCAATCTTGTTGTTTTTCGCCGTGAATCCGCATTTCAACATGATAAGCCTGCCGGTTGCTGGAAACAGTGTGTTTTACTATTCGGAATTGCAAAACTGTTTGTTTTGGAAGTGATTTGCGGGGTTTCTCGGAAGTCATTATCATATTGCAGAAGCCATCGTCGACAAATATTGTTGATGTTTGCATTAGAGGACGTTTGTTTTTTTATCCGGATAAATGGAATTGGCTTTGCGTATGAGCGAATCCCACAGACTACAGTTGCTTTATTGTGCAGACAATCTGCATTGGAATGGTCGTTTTCAAATTGAAAAAAATGGGACATTGCGCAAGGGAGAGACGTTTTAGACATTGCCTCATATTACAGAGCCCTAGGCCGTTGCCTCAGTAATTCCTAGCGCGTTGAAACTGCACATGGAACCAGTTGTTTTTAGGCTAAAACTAACAGCGGTAGTGCTCAAGTTGGACGCTTCAATTTTTAATAAAAGTTAGCGTAGATTTAGATAAATTGTTTATACAGCATGCGTTACAGTCCTATCTTGTTCTGTGTAGAAACAAAGGCAATTTTTGGGTCCAACATTTGGCTCAATTTCGACTAATTTTTGCAAGTGTTTCAATGAAAATTACAGCTTTATTTTTTTTGGGAGGGCAACGTTTATGACAAAAATGAAAATTCACCTCGCCGAAGTGGCTGATTGTAGGCAAATATTGTTTGTTTATATGCCTGTTCCCGGCAATTAGAATGCGATCTTGGCCAGTGGTAGACCTCGGGCAGACTTATCATTGCCCCAGGCCGGCCAGGAGCTTTTTAAAACTTGCTAACAAGAAGGCCCGGCCGGGCATTGGCCTGCTAGTACAAAAGGTCATATAAATGTTTTGCCAAAAAGTTCCTTGCGCTACGGACCCATTTCATAACAAATTAGCTATCAGCACAGGACGATATTTTTATCACAAACCGACAAGGCACTTTAATTTACATCTTATCACTTAAATACATACAGTGAATTGTTTAAGTTCGAAAGTGCAAAAGTTTTAGGCCGACCTCTGTACTATTTTTTGATGCGATTATACAGGGTGTTTCAAGAAATTTGGAACAAATGATTTGCTTATATCTTTGTGTTCTTTGCAGCTATCAACAAATTTCTTTTTGCTTCTAAAAATTGACAGCGTGCGTTTTTAGAATCTCAAAAAAATGTTTTTTTCGTCGGCGGAGGGCCCATTTCTCGGCGGAGAAAATTAGGGCCTTTTTTAAAAATCACAGCGTATTACGTGGCAGAAACGCCGTTGCAATGGCTGAAATCAAGTTTACGTTAAACCTCCGTCGATTTTACGGTATGCTTTTTTTGCGTTTTCGATTTTACGCACTTCCGCGGATGCGCGGCGCAGACCCCAGATTTCGGCGGACGTTGTTTGGGGCCTTTGGCTTTTGCAATTCATGTTGGAAAAGGAGGTTTGGGTGATTTTTTGTTGTCATCCGATGCACAGATGGCAAAAATTTCGTGCTTTTTATCCCCGGCGGAGGAGTCGGCGGAGGCTTTAACAAAGGGTAAAAACAAAACTCCGCCGATTTGTCCGCCGGACCAAAAAAATCAAAAATCTTTGAAAGACAATGCTGCTCTGATGGATTTTTGTAGCTGAGATTTTTCCCGGACTCGTAAGACAGCTTTGACCCTTTGATAAAGCCTCCGCCGAATCCTCCGCCGGGGAAAAGAAGCACGAAATTTTTGCCATCTGTGCATCGGATGACAACAAAAAATCACCCCAACCTCTTTTCCAACATGAATTGCAACAGCCGAAGGCCCAAAACAACGTCCGCCGAAATTTGAAGTCTCCGCCGCGCCTCCGCGGTGCGCGTAAAATCGAAAACAAAAAAATGCATACCGTAAAATCGACGGAGGTGTAACGTAAACTTGATTTCAGCCATTGCAATGGCGTTTCTGCCACGTAATACGCTGTGATTTTTAAAAAAGGCCCTAATTTTCTCCGCCGAGAAATGGGCCCTCCGCCGACGAAAAAAATTTTTTTTGAGATTCTAAAAACGCACGCTGTCAATTTTTAGAAGCAAAAAGAAATTCGTTGATAGCTGCAACGAACACAAAGATATAAGCAAATCATTTGTTCCAAATTTCTTGAAACACCCTGTACAATAATTGGTCAAGGCAATTAAGGAATGTTGGCGAGTTTTTAAAACTGATAAAATACTTAGATATTACACATTCTATAATTTACAATACATTTGGGCATTCTTTTACTTTTTTTGTATTAAAAATTGTTGTTTATCTTCAAATTCAACCAAGCTTTTGAATCTGCTCAGCACGGCCCGGTAGACGCCTACGTCAACAAAAATTAAAATGAAATGTTTCCCATGTATAAATCTTGAATGCTACGCATAGTTCATATTCTACAAGCTTAGCCTTTGTTCTATAGCCATGTTAATTTTCATGCTTCTAGCTTCAACGGCTAGTCGGTAATGAACTTTAGGAGAACAAGTGCGTGCGCAGGAGATATCGGAATTATTCCAATTTCGTTGGGAAAAAGAAAACATCGGTCGGTAATTCTGTTGCCGACTGTCAAATTTGGGGTTTTTCAGGGGGTTTTTCTTGGCGTGCTGATTCTATGGAATATTACATAAATTTTTTAGCGATTGAGGTGTGGTCTGGACAAGGTAGAATGGGGACCTGATCCAGTGGCAATAAACGTACCATTTTGCATTCAGGAAGCATCGAAAAATGTGGCAAAATACCTCCCTCTCCAAGTGAAAAAAATCAGATTTCAAAAGCGTGCCAGCTCTTTTTGTGAGGAAAAAGAGCGTGCCCTTCAAAACAAAATTTTTTTGACTTGGAGAGGGAACCACTTTGCCACATTTTTGATACTTCCCGGATGCAAAATGGTACGTTTTTTGCCACTGGATCAGGTCCCCACTGTAGGCCAAAAGTTTAGTGACAATCTGAGCGTCTCAAATTGAAAATGGAAGTGAAATTAACTCTTTGTAGCCTATCCAGGGATATCTGTAGATTCATGTCACTATTTGTCAGCAAAATTCCATCACATTATTTGTCAGCAAAATTGTAGAGGGCGCGGGGAATTTAGGCAAGATTTTTTTGCCTTTTTCGGGCTTCTAAACCTTGTTCTCTAACATAGTCTTCACTTTGTCGCATTTACCTGAAAGGCTTTCTCTAACACAACAAAACTATAACTGATTTTTATGCGGCGCCATCGCAGCTTATCGTCATTTCCCCACTGTTTCGTCCCGCTTTCATCTGATAACCCCCGTTCATAATTTTTTCCGGCGAATACTGTAGTTGGCAATCTTGATAATCACTGTATTGCCCGATGCCGGTCGTATGACCGCAGGCGAAAAACTTATCAGTTTAAACGCTAACATTTCGATGGCCTTTTCTTTGATTCCGCTAAAAGTGCAACCTACTTTCCCCCCTCATAAATCTGCACTTCAGGAGTTGGGGAGAGTAGTGGTGCTGGCGGAAAACCGCTTCGGCTTGGAGGCTGTATAATCCGCGTCTTGATTGAATTTGGCAGGTAATCTTGGGGATTGTAGGGAGCATGTCGGAAAAAATAGCGTCGTATTCATAAGTTGGTCAAGACCGCGGTGCTCCGGACAGACGGTGATTGGGAGACACGGAGAATGCACTACCGCATCATTTTCGGTAAAAATAGAAACACTGTTGGAGGGCGAGTCGTAATCGCTTTCGTTTTTTTTTTACTTTAAAGGGGAAGTACTATAAATGCGCTCAGACTTTGATGAGACTTGTGACAAATGTAGAATGATGTTTTCTACGACATATGAGAGACTGCCGCGTATTGCAGAAACGACCGGGATTTTTGGGATCAAAAGTTGGCAAAGATGGGGCACTGTTTTGGGCACAAAATATTCAGGCCTCCTCACTTGCTGTTAACTTTTATTTGTACTCTGTTTTCTCTTGATGTGGCTTCCTTTATGTCCTCTGTTTACACATATATGCACAAAAGAACCCCAGGTTTGACTTATGGGCAAAAAATCTTATGGATTTTATTGCAAAAGAACCGGCCACTTAGCTGCCTGATCCATGGTAAATTTACAAAAAATATACCTCAGTGCGACACTCAGATTTTCCTTAAATTTTGCAAACGCTTCGAGGATATACCACATATCAATATCTGAAAGTTTTCACTCATGCTTTGCAGGCGCCACGAAGATAATCAACGATCTTTGCGGAGTGCGAGAGAAAGGGTTATAGAGAAAAATACTATTTGGGCCAAGTTTCATCAAAATCTGAGGGTCTGACTTGAAGTACTGTACTTTCCCTGATGCTGCCCACTAACGTTTCGGCGCGCTAAACCTCTTCGGAGATTTCCTAATTTATCCTCATCCTCCTCTCCCCCCATTACTCATTTCCTCATGTCAGAGCGCATTAACTTGCAATAAACAATCTCAATTTTCATTGAACGTTATCAGAAGGCAATCTCAAAAGATTATTAGCGAAAAAACTGGCTCTTTCTCGTGTAATGTCGCTCCTCGCTTCACGTGATTCGTCTTGGGGATTAGCGGAAAGGGTTTTCGAAAAAATCCCACCCGTAATGCGACAAAACAATTTGTACTTGAAGGCGTGACATTGTTACAGCTAGTTTTTTCGGGGTGTAACATTTGAACAGGCCGTTTTTTATGTTTAATAGGACGCCGAGGGTAAAA